TATCTAGCCATTTGTAGTATCTATGTTCCCAAAATCATATTCTCGGGATTGTTCTCCGCCCCTGAAGACTTTCTTATAGCCATCTAACCATAATAACAAAAATTTATTCAAAACTCAGATATGCCAGTGATGCTACCAAAAATCGTACCTGGTGGATCCTGAGCTTGAGGACTGAGATGGAACACAAATTGCGCCTTCCGGTACCTAAAGTAAAGGCAACGAGGTGTGTGCTCGTTGCCCCTCGGATGCTTAAGTCAGACAGAGGATTGTGCAAAAGTATAAGATACAATTGTATTATGAAAGCGTATCTCAATAATGAGCCTTGGCCATGTATTTATTGGTGTTGGTGATAGAATTGTAGGAGGATTCAACTACTTAGAGTCCTTTCCTCCTAGGGTTAGGTGTTTGAGTTTTGTTGAAAGTGTTCTACTTGAGTTTGGATCTAAGGAGGAGTATGTTAGACAATTAAGATAAGGATCCAAAGAATTATAGTTGGAGCATGATTACCTTTCCCCAGAAATTATGTTAATGGACACGTGGCCTGTAGTGAACAGTGAGACCCGACCTAAATCTATAGGCCCGACCTCATATTGGGCAATTTAGGAAGAGTTGCTTGGCCCGACCTCGTAAGCCCGACCTAAATGAAGCCCCACCTCGTGAGGGTTTTGGGGAACATGTATGCTCGAGGTAAACACCTCGAGCGGTACATGAATGCTCGAGACCAGGTTACAATTTCTGTGCATATCACAGGTCCCCGTGCATCCATGTCAGTAGCTCATGCGCAATGTGAGAGTTTCTGGCATGAGATGTAAAAGAATAGGCATACTCATGTTGAGTTAATAGGCCCCCGAGCACATTTGAAAGGGGCTCGACCAGATCTTGTTAAAATCTTAAAAGAATGGAGCTCGACCTCAAGCTCATTAAAAGATTTCGAAAGGAAGGGCTTGATTTAGAGATCGTCAAAAACTTCAATTGAAGGAGCTCGACTTGAAGCTTGTTAAAGATATGAAGCTTATAGCTCGACTTGAAGCTTGTGAAAGACCTCAAGCAAAAGAGCTCGACCTGAAGCTTGTGAAAGACCTCGAGTGAAAGAGCTCAACCTGAAGCTTGTTAAAGACTTCAAGAGAAAGAGCTCGAGCTGGAGCTTGTGAAAGACCTCAAGGGAAAGAGCTCGACCTGATGATTGTTAAAGACTTCAAGCGAAAGAGCTCGACCTGAAGCTTGTGAAAGACCTCAAGCGAAAGAGCTCGACCTCAAGCTTGTTAAAGACTTCAATTAAAAGAGCTCGACCCGAAGCTTGTTAAAGATATCAAGCGAAAAAGCTTGACCTTGAGCATGTTAAAGACATCAAGCGAAAGAGCTTGACCTTGAGCATGTTAAAGACATCAAGCGAAAGAGCTCGACCTCTGGCAAGCTTGATATGTGAGAGGCTCGACCATGAGTTGTGACAAAACTTGATATGTAAGAGGGTCAACCTCGAGATGTAGCAAAGCTTGATATGTAAGAGGCTCAACCTCGAGCTCTAGCAAGCTTGATATGTAAGAGGCTCGACCTCGAGCTCTGGCAAGCTTGATATGTGAGAGGCTCGACCATGAGCTCCGGCAAGGCTTAGAGTGCTTGCTCGAGGGCAAGGCTTTGAGTGCTTGCATGGGGCAAGGCTTTGAGTGCTTGCACAGGGCAAGGTGGTAAGGCTTTGAGTGCTTGTACAGGGTAAGGCTTAGAGATCCCTACCTCTAAGTCTTGCCCCCAAGCAAGCACCTCTAAGCCTTGCCCCCGTGCAAGCACTCTAAGCCTTGCCCTCGAGCAAGCACTCTAAGCTTTATCCTCGAGCAAGCCATCAAAGCCTTGCCCCGAGCAAGCACTCAAAGCCTTGCCCTACGCAAGTACTCTAAGTCTTGCCCTCGAGCAAGCACCTCTAAGCCTTGCCCCCCGAGCAAGCACCTTTAAGCCTTGCCCCGTGCAAGCACTCTAAGCCTTGCCCTCGAGCAAGCACTCTAAGCCTTACCCCCGAGCAAGCACCTCTAAGCTTTACTCCGTGCAAGTACTCAAGGCCTTGTCCCCGAGCAAACACCTCTAAGCCTTGCCCCGTGCAAGCACTCAAAGCCTTGCCGCCTTGCCCTGCGCAAGCACTCAAAGCCTTGCCCCCGAGCAAACACCTCTAAGCCTTGTCCCGTGCAAGCACTCAAAGCCTTGCCCTCGATCAAGCACTCTAAGCCTTGCCCCCGAGCAAGCACCTCTAAGCCTTGTCCCGAGCAAGCATTCAAAGCCTTGTCTCATGCAAGCACTCAAAGCCTTGCCCCCGAGCAAGCACATCTAAGCCTTGCCCCGTGCAAGCACTCTAAGCCTTGCCCTCGATCAAGCACTCTAAGCCTTGCCCTCGAGTAAGCACCTCTAAGCTTTGCCCCGTGCAAGCACTCTAAACCTTACCCCGTGCAAGCACTCTAAGCCTTGCCCTCGAACAAACACTCTAAGCCTTGCCCCTGAGTAAGCACCTCTAAGTCTTGCCCTGTGCAAGCACTCTAAGTCTTGCCCTCGAGCAAGCACCTCTAAGCCTTGCCCTATGCAAGCACTCAAAGCCTTGCCCAGCGCTAGCACTCTAAGCCTTGCCCCCCAAGCAAGTACCTCTAAGCCTTGCCGCCAAGAAAGCATTTCTAAGCCTTACCCCGTGTAAGCACTCAAAGCCTTGCTCCCGAGCAAGCACTTCTAAGCATTGCCCCGTGCAAGCACTCAAAGCCTTGCCCTGCGCAAGCACTCTAAGCCTTGCCTTCGAGCAAGCACCTCAACGCCTTGCCCTCGAGCAAGCACTCTAAGTTTTGCCCTCGAGCAAGCACCTCTAAGCCTTGTCCCCGAGCATGCATCTCAAAGCCTTATCCCCGAGCATGCATCTCAAAGCCTTGCCCCGCGCGAGCACCTCTATGTCTCACAATGCATTAAGTAAAAATTTTGACCAGTGATCTATTCCGACCAAGGGTTCAGGCGCTTATCCTCGAGCTCAATACATTGCCAAAATCCCAACAACGAGCGTGAGCTCGAGCCTTTTAGTACACACCTAGACAAAGCTGGAGGTCCAACCCTTTGCGAGATCTCGAGGTCGGGCCTCTTACACATCAAGCGAGCTCGAGCTCGAGCCTTTCAGTACACACCTGGACAAAGCTGGAGGTCTAACCCTTTGCGAGATCTTGAGGTCGGGCCTCTTACACATCAAGATTGCTAGAAGCTTGAGGTCGAGCCTCTTACATGTCAAGTTTTGCTAGAGCTCGAGGTCGGGCCTCTTACACATCAAGCTTGCCAGAGCTCGAGGTCGAGCTTCCTACATATCAAGCTTTGCCTGAGCTCGTGGTCGAGCCTCTCACATATCAAGCTTGCCAGAGCTTGAGGTTGAGCCTCTTACATATCAAGCTTGCTAGAGCTCGAGGTCGAGCCTCTTAGATATCAAGTTTTGTTAGACCTCGTGGTTGAGCCTCTCACATATCAAGCTTGCCAGAGCTCGAGGTCGAGCCTTTTACATATCAAGCTTGCTAGAGCTCGAGGTCGAGCCTTTTACTTATCAAGCTTTGCTAGATCTCAAGGTCGAGCTCTTTCGGTTGATGTCTTTAACATGCTCGAGGTCAAGCTCTTTTGCTTGATGTCTTTAACAAGCTCAAGGTCGAGTTCTTTTGCTTGATGTCTTTAACAAGCTCAAGGTCGAGCTCTTTCGTTTGATGTCTTTAACAAGCTTCAGGTCGAGCTCTTTCGCTTGAAGTCTTTCACAAGCTTGAGGTCGAGCTCTTTCACTTGAGGTCTTTCACAAGCTTCAGGTCGAGCACTTTCGCTTGAAGTCTTTCACAATCATCAGGTCGAGCTATTACGCTTGAGGTCTTTCACAAGCCCCAGGTCGAGCTATTTCACTTGAGGTCTTTCACAAGCCCCAGGTCGAGCTCTTTCTCTTGAAGTCTTTAACAAGCCCCAGGTCGAGTTCTTTCGCTTGAGGTCTTTCACAAGCTTCAGGTCGAGCTCTTTCGCTTGAGGTCTTTCACAAGCTTCAAGTCGAGTTATTCGCTTCATATCTTTAACAAGCTTCAAGTCAAGCTCCTTCAATTGAAGTTTTTGACAATCTCTGAATCAAGCTTTTCCTTTTGAAATCTTTTAATGAGCTCAAGGTCAAGCTCCATTCTTTTAAGATTTTAACAAGATCTGGTCGAGCCCCTTTCAAATGTGCTTGGGGGCCTATTAACTCAACATGAGTATGCCTATTCTTATGCATCTCATGCCAGAAACTCTCACATTGCACATGAGCTACTGACATGGATGCATGGGGGCCTGTGATATGCACAGAAATTGTAACCCGTCTCGAGCATTCATGTACAGCCCAAGGTGTTTACCCCGAGCATACATGTTCCCCAAAACCCTCACGAGGTGGGGCTTCATTTAGGTCGGGCCAAGCAACTCTTCCTAAATTGCCCAATATGAGGTTGGGCCTATAGATTTAGGTCGGGTCTCACTGTTCACTACAAGCCACGTGTCCGTTAACATAATTTCTGGGGAAAGGTAATCATGCTCCAACTATAATTCTTTGGATCCTTATCTTAATTGTCTAACATACTCCTCCTTAGATCTAAACTTAAGTAGAACACTTTCAACAAAACTCAAACACCTAACCCTAGGAGGAAAGGACTCTAAGTAGTTGAATCCTCCTACAATTCTATCACCAACGCTTATAAATACACAGTCAAGGCTCATTATTGAGGTACGCTTTTATAATACAATTGTATCATATACTTCTGCACAATCCCCTATCTAACTTAAGCATCGGAGGGGCGATGAGCACACACCTCGTTGCCTTTGTTTTAGGTACCGGAAGGCGCAGTTCGTGTTCCATCTTAGTCCTCAAGCTCGGGATTTACCAGGTACGATTTTTTGTAGCATTAGCTAGAATTTTTTTATGATGAGGTAACTAATTTGATTTTTTTTTCTCTAGGGTTCATTTCAATTTGTGTGTGGTTTAAATTTTTGTTCTGCTAATGAAGATTGGTTTGAGAAGAGAGATCTTTTTCTTAATTTGGAATTCTTCTAATTTAGGGTGCTTGGGGGATCGTTCCCATTTGGGAGGGGATAATGATCAATTTAGGTTATTTTTCAAAAGATTGGGGATTTTCAATTTTTGATGAGAGATGCCAAAAGCGTATCTTTGAAAATGACCCAAAAACGATACTAAATCAAATGGTTTTTTGTTCAGCTTGTCATCGATTAACAATGTGTGTTGCCATGTAGGATTTCATCCGATGTGTATTATACTATCAAGTGGACGGATAGAGTTGAGATGAATGATAGGTGAATAGCACTGTGGATAATTGAGTAGTAATATATAACTTTTTATATACATGTGAGCAATTATTAATTAAAGATAAATGTAAACTCATTTAATTAAATCATTGGTAATTATATTCACACTACAATATTTTTAGTAGCACCATATTTTAATTTCAATTAATGTCCTCAGCCTTCCCTTGTTGTGGAACTTGTTTTGTCCATACTTCTTTTACATCGAATTCTTACCTTCAACATTATATTAATTAGAAAATCTCAGAAGTTTGTTCCAACACAGAGAGAGGTGCTTATGCTATATATATGTATATATTATTATTATTATTTTTTTTTATGTGGTGCTGCATGCTTTTGTTTTGGTGGATCATATTGAAGGTATGTTACCTCGTTTTGGATGTATAATTGTATTTCTATGATATCTGACTTCAGGTAAGAGTCAAGCCAGGAGAGAGCGCCCTTGCATTTTACACTGCTGAAAATCGAAGTTCAGCTCCCATAACTGGTGTATCTACTTATAACGTTACTCCAATGAAGGTATAATTATTCTCTCAAAAACTCTATTTTCTCAATATGTTGCTTGTTAGTCCTTCAAAATTCCTTTCAAAACTATTTGTGTCTCAGGATTCAGAAATCTGGTTAACTTTGTTTAGTTAGGTTGAGCTATTGCCAATGCACATTATCTTTTGGGAGGCCTGATGCGAAAGGCATTCTTTACTCCCCATGTCATTTTATTTTAATGAGTTAATTCAAGAATGGTGCATAGCTATCAACAATATATACTTACATTTTTTCTGCAAAGAGATCAGATTGTGGTAAATTTTTTGTGAAATTTCATGACTTCTTTCATAAAGCATTACCCTTTCTATAATCAGAAAAAAGTGATAGTGGCATGCATAGTTTAAGATATTCAACTGATTTTGTCATGTGGACTGATTTATTTCTATTCAGTAAATTTTGCTGATATTTTATCGGTATTAGGAATCCAGCATTTTTAATGAACTTGACAGAATTAGTGGTCTATCATGTAATGAGAGGATAATTACTTTTTTCTTTTCTACCATTTTAGCGGGTAAGAATGGTAGGTTGATACTAATTCTTGACATACATTTATCTGGTATGGTCAAGTAAATATCCTTCTCAGTAGGAGTGTTTTTTAACTGACATGGTTTAGAAAACTAATTGAGTCTTACGGCTCGTATCCTGCCTCAGGCGAGACTATCATAAAAAGGATCTAAACCCTCACCTTAAATACCATTTGTGAGGTTACACCTCGATTTAGTGAGGCTTATGCCTCAAACCTGAGCCTCAAGCAAACTAAGGCGCTCCCAAGTTTGCCTTCTATTTTTCGAACATTAGTCTTTTGAGTTATTTCTTTATAATCTAAAATAATTTAACGGTTCTTTTTTCTTTCTGCCTACATGGAAGGAAAATGGACAGAAGAATACACCGTTGAAATTGGGGGATTATGACAAAAAAATGAAAAGAAACTTGCTATGAGGATGATAAAAATGGTGTAAATGGTTCCCCTATAGAACATACTAGTAGTGGTGATATAAGAAATTTTTGAGTTGTCTCCACTTTTAGTAATAGATTATAAATTTTTTAGATGATAATTTCTGGCATTCTTCATAAATAGTTGATTAAGGGGATTTCCATCTATTTGCCAGAAGTGTCTCTTTAAATTTTAGACAAGAAAGATGATGGAGAACAGGACAAACACATTAGTTTTTAACTGTAAATTTTTATGAAGAGAATGTTAGTTAAACATAAATGTGGCATGTCTTTTTCCCCTGACTTCATATTTTCTCTACCTTGTTCTCATCTTTAAGAATTAAGACCCAGAAGGTCAAAATGAGTTGTTTATGGATTTTGGTAATTAAGATGATAGGTTGCTCAGATTGGAAGTGATGCTCAAAGAAGTTTGGAGGAGCCAAAATAAATATTTTCCTATGAATAGCTTTGACATTTTAATAAACTCAGCTGGGGAGAAATTATTAGAAGGGATATTATTGTTAGTTTCCAGATCTAAATATGTATTTTAGGAAATGTTATTATAGTTTGATTTATTACCTTTTGTTCTTACTTAATATAGGCCTTTTGAAACCCTATATAAAGGGATCTTATGCTATGTAATTGGTAACCTTTGAATGAATGAATAATTGATATTTTCTTGCTCCAATTCTTTCTTCTCTCTTCCCTTCTGTCTGTCTAACTCTCCTCCTTTTCTACCTCACTCATTCTATCTGTTGGAAGAATTTTGTGAATAGTGACGCCAAAATAAGTATAATGATGGTTAGGGATAAAGTCGAGGCAAGAGTTGGACTCTTTTTCCTTAAGTCGAATTTGCCCCGCAACGGTGCCTACGGATTTCGGCAATCGACTCTCAAGATACAACGGCTACACTTGTGTTTGTAGCACTCCAAAACACAAGTACAACGAACCAAATTTAGGCTTATGTACTCCAAAGATGAAGGAAAATCAAAATAAATGAAATGATTTTGATTTTGGATAGAAGAGAGGATGAGAGACGTTTTTGCATATCAAAATTGTGAGGAATAGGACACCCAAAGGGTCCTATTTATAGACCATGAAAGGGTGTGGATGAAATGGTTGAGGCCAAACCATGCATCCTTTCCAAACAATGCAATGCACCTTTCTGAAAAGGTGTCTATTCACTAATTTTCGTCCTTTTTCGTAATTTCTCATTCATCCGATATTAGTTTTCGAAATGCCAAATATACCCTTCAATACATGCAGAGAAATCAAAATTCTCTTTCGGGGGCGTTGCCCCCGAGCCACCACGGGGGGCGCTGCCCCCTCGACTCCGACGACCTGACCGGGCAGGTCGATCCCCGTTTGTGCGCCCCGAAACGGCGAAGTGGCAAACAATTTTGCCTAAACGGATTGAGTCGAGCTTTTGAGTATTTGGCCGAAGTCGATACGAAGTCACTTTAATCGATTTTCAATTCTCGATTTATTTTAACCAATATCCAACACTATCTCCCTCCTTTCTCTTCTTCTGCTCTTCCCTATCCCTTGCCATAATTTTCTTCTTGCATCCTATGTCATGAAGCTTCACCTCTTATTCATCAGTTCTTTTTGTTTCCATATCCTTCTGAAATAACTCACCAATATATATTTTCCTGATAAGAGATGGTTTTTCTAAATTAAAATCCATGTTATTTAACTTGAATTAGAAAGTGTGAATGGGTTGACATTTCAAAGAATATACTATACCTGATAAATCTAATGCCATTTTTCTTGGCATATTCTGCAAAACAAGGCCCCGAAGTTCAGCATCGGTAGAAATCCCTGAATCTTGCATTATGAACGTCAAGTTTGGATGACCTTTGGTATTGTGATTACAGGGAGATTGTTGTCCAGTTCAATGCTGATGTGGCTGATGGAATGCCATGGAAGTTTGTTCCAACACAGAGAGAGGTGCTTATGCTATATATATGTATATATTATTATTATTATTTTTTTTTATGTGGTGCTGCATGCTTTTGTTTTGGTGGATCATATTGAAGGTATGTTACCTCGTTTTGGATGTATAATTGTATTTCTATGATATCTGACTTCAGGTAAGAGTCAAGCCAGGAGAGAGCGCCCTTGCATTTTACACTGCTGAAAATCGAAGTTCAGCTCCCATAACTGGTGTATCTACTTATAACGTTACTCCAATGAAGGTATAATTATTCTCTCAAAAACTCTATTTTCTCAATATGTTGCTTGTTAGTCCTTCAAAATTCCTTTCAAAACTATTTGTGTCTCAGGATTCAGAAATCTGGTTAACTTTGTTTAGTTAGGTTGAGCTATTGCCAATGCACATTATCTTTTGGGAGGCCTGATGCGAAAGGCATTCTTTACTCCCCATGTCATTTTATTTTAATGAGTTAATTCAAGAATGGTGCATAGCTATCAACAATATATACTTACATTTTTTCTGCAAAGAGATCAGATTGTGGTAAATTTTTTGTGAAATTTCATGACTTCTTTCATAAAGCATTACCCTTTCTATAATAAGAAAAAAGTGATAGTGGCATGCATAGTTTAAGATATTCAACTGATTTTGTCATGTGGACTGATTTATTTCTATTCAGTAAATTTTGCTGATATTTTATCGGTATTAGGAATCCAGCATTTTTAATGAACTTGATAGAATTAGTGGTCTATCATGTAATGAGAGGATAATTACTTTTTTCTTTTCTACCATTTTAGCGGGTAAGAATGGTAGGTTGATACTAATTCTTGACATACATTTATCTGGCATGGTCAAGTAAATATCTTTCTCAGTAGGAGTGTTTTTTAACTGACATGGTTTAGAAAACTAATTGAGTCCTACGGCTCGTATCCTGCCTCAGGCGAGACTATCATAAAAAGGATCTAAACTCTCACCTTAAATACCATTTGTGAGGTTACACCTCGATTTAGTGAGGCTTATGCCTCAAACCTGAGCCTCAAGCAAACTAAGGCGCTCCCAAGTTTGCCTTCTATTTTTCGAACATTAGTCTTTTGAGTTATTTCTTTATAATCTAAAATAATTTAACGGTTCTTTTTTCTTTCTGCCTACATGGAAGGAAAATGGACAGAAGAATACACCGTTGAAATTGGGGGATTATGACAAAAAAATGAAAAGAAACTTGCTATGAGGATGATAAAAATGGTGTAAATGGTTCCCCTATAGAACATACTAGTAGTGGTGATATAAGAAATTTTTGAGTTGTCTCCACTTTTAGTAATAGATTATAAATTTATTAGATGATTACTAACCTGAAAACTCATTATTTTCTATTTTTTTGATCTATTTTATATTTTTTGAAGTTGGACCTTTAATTTTGTGAATTAGTTTTATTATGGATTGTTTTTTAAAAGGGCTAATGGCATATTATGAGCATATATTTCGCACTTTTATATTCTTCAGAATTCTTTTGTTGTTGTACATTGAGACTTGCCTCACAAGGCTCACACTTTGCCTCATAACGATAAAATGCCTTAGCATCCAACTAAGCTTTTTTAAACATTGTTTATTAGTATAAGCACATTTTTTGCATAAACCAGTTTTAAAGTCCGTTTGACCTACGAAGCTGGAGTTATAATGGAGAGAAGTATGAGTGAGATTTTTCTTGATGAAGATGAACAGCAATTGCAACTTTTCTTGTTTTTGAATTTTAAAATTCTAAGAGTCCATTAATCTTGGTCAACGTACTGTAACCTTTGGTAGTAACTTACTAATATAATAAATAGTCTTCAAGGTCATGCTTCTATATGATTCGCTTTTAATAGATGGGTTAGTATAAGATTTGTGTTATGGCTCCTACTACAAGGTATGAGACTTAAATCCTACATCGAAAGTATGGACTTTTGATGTGTGATTTATATTGACTTTGGCTCTCCCATTTAATAGCTAGCTTTTGGGGGATGACTCTCTCAAGATCTATAGCAATGGTATCAGAGCATGCATCATGTCTCTCGGTTGCAATTGAGCGGTGCGGATGGTGACGCCGGCATAGTGGTGTTCGTCTAGACTAGTCATGGGCTAGTGTAAAGCCAGTCCGAGATGGGCGCAGGATCACAGAGCGTGGTGGATTGTTATGGTTCCCATTGCAAGGTATGGGACTTGAATCCCACATCCTTTTGATGTATGGTTTATATAGACTTGGGCTCTAACATCAATAGCTAGCTTTTGAGGTATGGTTCTCCCAAAATCTATATCAATTTGCAACATGTGTCCTAGTCAAAAACTCCATAAAATTTGTCGAATCAATGCTACAAGCCTTCAACTAGTTGGAAAATCTCTTTTGGATATCTGATGGCACCTATATCATCGGTGTATGGCCATGTCTACCAAACCTATAAAAATATTTTTGTCCCATTTTATGATGGTGGGGAAAGTCTCTTCGATTGTGAATTTAAATATATTCCAACTACAATAAAGAAAATGGCTCTATTTCCTCTTGTTGAGATAAGAAGTACGAGAGTGGACAAACAATCTTGTACATCTGTGCTGAATCCCCATACTCAATGAACCCTGATTCGGGAAAGTGCGTTTTTGGTGGAAGGACAGAGAATGTTTAAGGGAGGTTTGGCATGGAATTATAAATTGGTTGTAGATGTTGCAGCGAGGCTCTACAATCAAAGAGTCGTTGGCAAGTTCACACTTCAGTCTCAGGGATTTCATCTACACAAACTAAGATTGATACATTGAGGGTGAGATGATTGCGAGGATGCTCAATTTGATGAGGTTTCATGCACGCGTCAGGGCAGCAAAGAATGATTTATCAACTCTCTTTTTTTCCTTCGTTTTTTTTTTTTTTTTGGATGAATGGTAATGATGAAGACATGCTTGCTAACATGTAAAAGACCAGTTAAGTTTGCAAATATATGAAAGAGAGTGAACATATGACAGAATGTACTTGGATTTTGATTACCAGTTGGAGATAAGGATGAATTGAGAATTTGGAAGCAAGTCAGATAAAGTTGGTGAAGGTGGCATATGAAGATGAACAAAATGGAGATTTAATAGGAAGGAACACTACAATGATTGAGAAAGTTTAAATCCCTGTTAGTTGGTTCTGATTTATTCCCTCATTACTTAAGATTTGTTCTTACTAAGGAAATTTTCTGTATGTGCTGCATTCACAATTTGCTTCAGTTCCATTTGGACATCAGTAAGAACCTGTAATGGGAAGGTCTAAGAACCTGTATCTCAGCTTTGACCTTAACAAGGGATATTTCTGTTTTATTTGATTAAGAAGGAAGACTACATGCCGGATAATTTGAGAGTAAAATAGGAAGATGAAGAGGATACGCTGAAACGGGATGTTTCTTTTAGTTTGAATGATTACAGGTCAAGGGAATTAATCTTAGATAATTTAAATTGGGGGAAGGGGGTAATAACAACCTGTGTCTAGTGACTTTGTTAACATGTTACATGTTGTTACATGTGTAATTTCCCCAGTTTTTGTTCCTTCCTCACTCTAAACTCCTTGTATGTTTAATGTTTTTGGATAAACTACTGGTGCTGGCCAAAATATATTTGTCGATGTCGGATTTCTGACTTACATGGCTCTTTCACTTTTTATAGTTACCTGGAAATTTTGATTGAGGTGATAATGTCGTTTTGCTTCTGAAGAATCTCATGCCCTGCTCCCCTTGTTTTCAATTCATTGTTCAAGCCTAGGTTCTCAAGATATAAAGTGATTAAGTATATGACCACCACCCCTTTATTCCCGA